TTTGCACATTCCGTATTTAAATACATAATTTAATATAATATATAATATAATTTCCATTAATAAAAGACATTAACTAAAACCAAATCCTCATTAATTCTGGTGTTTGAGTGATCAGAGTTTGTATTCCTTGTTTTCTGCTTTTATTTCATTTTACAGATGTTTTTATGGTTGCTTACAAATCTATCGGTATACTAATATATACAGCATGGTCCTCTGTCTCTCTGTAGCTGATGGTAGATATTAGCGCTTATAGAGTATAAGATAGCGTTTCCCACTCTGACCCTCAGAGACCTCCAGACGGTCCATGTTTTTTCTCCCTCCCAGACACTTTCCATTTTCCTTCTGGGAGGGAGCAAAAACATAGACTGTCTGGGAGGGAGCAAAAACATAGACTGTCTGGGGCTCCCTGAGGATCGGTTTCAGAATCACTGGTATAAAACAAGTTAATAAATATTACATATTACAGCTGCTCTTTGCATGGCAGATGATATAATCTTGAGTAAAGAATTGGATGTTTTATCATATAATTGCATTGTAACTTTCTAAATCAGTAGTACGGTACTTTTCTGCCATTGTGAAATGCTTTTGGTGTGGATGACTGACCATTCAAAACTGAAGGTCAATTAATATGGATCTGATTCTGCCTAGTATGTATGGGCCAATTTGCTACCTAATGGCAGGATGCTTATTTTAGAGTTTTCACTGTTCACAGTGAGAACAGTTTCATTACCTCCACTGCAAGGTGGTTAACTGGGTGTGGAAGGTGATTATGCATTTCATTGTCCTTCTGTTGATTTGTGGTATGTGTTGTGGTGCTTGGGATTAAACAGAAATATCAGCAATAAAGGTTGCTGTTGATGGAGTACAGACCTGGTTTTGATATTACCTGGGATGGGTGGAGCTAGTTTGATGTCTATGCATTTGTGTTTATACACTGATCAGCCATAACATTGGAATCACTGACAGGTGAAGTGAATAACATTGATTATCTCATTACAATGGCACCTGTCAAGGGTGCAATTATATATCAGGCATGTGAAGAGTCAGGAGTCGGGGTCATGGGTGCCCAAGACTCACTGATGCACATGAGGAGCAAAGGCTAGTCCATCAGGTCCAATCCCACAGGAGAGCTACAGTAGCATAAATTGCTGGAAAAGTTAATACTGGCTATTATAGAAAGGTGTCAGAACACACAGTGCATCGCAGCTTGCTGTGTATGGGGCTGCATAGCTGCAGACTGGTCAGAGTGCCCATGCTGACCCCTGTCCACCACCAAAAGTCCCTGCAATGGGCGGGTAAGCATCAGAGCTGGACCATGGAGCAATGGAAGAAGGTGGCCTGGTTTGATGAGTCATATTTTCTGTTACATCATGTGGACGTCCAGGTGTATGTGTGTCACTCATCTGAGGAAGAGATGGCACCAGGATGCACTATGGGAAGAAGGAAAGCTGGTGGAACAAAGATCTGCTGGGTCAAACGTCCGACAATGGACGTTTTGAAAAGAAGACAGATTATGGATTTAGCCAGCATTTTTTTCATGATTCTACATGAAGATTTCAGTGAGATATAAACGGAAATACACGAGAAAGATACGCAGCATCGCCGACGATGCCGTCGTCCCCGGAGGGTTAATCTCCAGTCAACATCTACATAGAATTATCCTCTATTCTGTCTCATGATTAGCAGAGTAGCAACTGGGGTGTTTGTGCCACAAAATGTTTATTTTTTATTTCAACAACATACCCACCTTCAAGTGAAGCACAAGCCTCCTCTTGTTTAGACTTTTTCTTTCTCTTGCTTGCTCCCGATTCGTATTGCCATTTGGAGGCCATCTCTCTACCTGCATGGAACTGCCTGTCGGCACATTTGACCTCTGATTGGTCAGATGCTGCGTGCTGTCAATCATTGCGGCAAGGCGTGCAGCGTCAGATTACTCGTCTCTTTCTTTTCTCTCCTGCCTTGGGCTGACTTGGTGCCCTACATGCGCCTCACGGCGGCGATGCACATCCTTTGCGCATTCGCAGAGAATGCGTCCCCTTGCGGAAAATGGGCCCCCCCATGGATCGTGGGGCCCTCTGCACAGCGCGTGTTCTGCGTGTAGGGAGGGGCAGCGCTGATGAGAAGATCTGAGATAAGCCCTCTGATCTTGGATGCCTTAAGTAATCTTAACCACCCCTACACAATATTTAGCAGATGGTTTTAATGTTATGGCTGATTCTGGTATCTGTGCTGCATAAATCTTCCTTGAAATCTTCTAATAAATTGGATATGAAGCTCTGTTTTGTATATCTTCATTTACAAGACAAGCAGACATTATTTCAGAGACAGAGAGCCAATAAAGTCATAAATTCAAAAAGCCTTAAAAACCTAGGCTGCACACATGAAAACAGGGTGTGATATTTTTGTGCAGCAAGAATTTCTCTTCAGCTTTCTGTCAAAGGTCAGAATAATAAAAGTTTTGATGCACAACTTGTGGACTGACTTGTTTCAATTAGTGTTTTGTTGGTCATGTTGAAATGATGATACTTTATCAATCCCTGCTGGGAATATTCTCTTTCAGCCTATCCCATGACACACGTAGGTGAGATTAAACAGCAGTGCTGCCCATGGAGCTGGGGGTTAAGGGACCCACTGAAGGGCCCACAGATGTGACCACTCTGCCACGGCTGGACTTAAACCAGCGACCTTCTGATCACAGGCTCAGATGCTTAGCCCACTGAGCCACACACTGTCACTTGGCGTGACTCAGTGGTGAATTGTTACTTAGTCCGTGATCATAGGAAGTTGAAGTATAGGAATTTAGTATGGCATGGGTGTTCACTCCAAGACAACAAAAGGGTTAGGGTGTCAGAACTGATTCCTGACTGGGGGGGCTGCCTCTTCTTTGAAGGGGTTTGGTTTGTTAGGGTGGTGTTAACTGCACCTGACATCAGATTTGTCCTGTGGCATGTTGCAACAGCAATCATTTTTTCTGCTGTTGCTCTACTGTTCCGACAAACAGTGTAGTGTGTGTACTGTATGTCTCTCATTAATGGCATTGTGCTTTGAAATTGCAAGTAGATTTCACTTATACTGTGACTATCGTTGTGGTTTGTATTGGAGTCCTCTGTCTGTGTTTTAATAAAGGCCCTGTCAATATTAGCCCGATGACATTATTACCTGAACATTCTTGTAACATAATCTTAATTGTAGTCTAATATTATTAGTCTAATACATGGAGTATATTGTAGTGTAGTATAGTGTAGTAGGGGATAACGTTCTGGGGACATCAAGAACTCTGGACATCTGGATATTTCTACGTAGTTAATACCATTGTGCAGTTACGGTTAGATTCACCCCCTCCACAATAGTATTTTGAGAAAACAAAACAAAACGAATATTAGATTTTATACTTCCCTTGTGTTTGTCATGATTATGTGTTTCTGGTGGGATTATAGGATTTCCTGAGCAAAAAAATACATATTTTGGTAAAACAACACACTTTCTGTAGCCATTAATGTCTCCATTTTTCCCCAAATTTTTTCGATTGCTTCTTGCAGGGAAGTGCTGAGCAGTAGTAAAATGCACAGCTGCACTCAACCAGCATTCATTCAGTCTCCTCCCAGTGTTCACATGAATCACGACTGGCAATCAATCTGCATAATCTGGATTAAGTTGTGTGTCACAACAATTTAGGCCTGTTCACAGGGATGATGGCCAGAGTCTGAGCAGCTGGCAGCATATAAAAGGAAACCAAGACTTTGCTGCCCTAGTTGCTAGTGTGTATGTGTCTCCAAGGGGTTGTGGATGAAGTTGATGGAGAAACAGGCTTAGTATTGAAAAGTCATTCAGCTGTCTCATGAGTGGAAGGACACTAACTTGGTTACCTTGTCCTGAGATGCCTTGAAACCTTTTTCAAATTCCTATCCAAAACATCTGTGTGTGTGCATAATTGTGCCTGTGGCCCTGTGTATTCGCACATTTAGTCCCTCCCCACTAAGGATAATTTGCCCTCCCCCCACACCTCTGCTCTTGTCATCTCCAGTCTTTTAAGTACACCACTCAAATTTCCACATGGTTTGGCCATTTGTCAGGCACGTGGAGTAAGATTTCCAGGCTGCATTAAGCTGTTTCTGAGTTTTACGGCATCTATGGCCCGTGCCTGCAAAGTGCATTCTTGCTTTACATCAGACATAAATTTGCTTCACCAGGTGACCATGTCACAGATTACATCATTAAAAAATCATATGGACCAAAAAAGCAACTGCAAGCAAGGAGTCTACTTAAAACTGAAAGAGTATTTGAATCATATATTTTTCAGCATCATCATGGCAACATTGCATTCTTTGTCAGACTACCTACAACCCTTTCAAAGGTTATTAATCAACTACCTTTTGGGCCAAACATACTTTTGAGCCACTTGCATAAGATCGGCTTGAATGTATGGACCCAAAATGAGAAAATCATTCTAACTAGACTTTATACAGCAAGTCGATTAATTTGTCTGAGGATACACTTGGAAACTGTGTGACTGTTGCATTTTTTGATTGAATATTTGCTGTTTGAACTTCTGCTAAAAGGAGCTTGTATCTTTACGTAGGCGGAAAGTTCATGTACTTAGCTTAGAGCGACAACAGACCTCCAAACTGTACCCGAACAAGACACCTAGACCATAACCATTATACCATCTGCTAACCTATACTGTGAAGTGGAGCAGACTAAATTGACTTAGGCAGGTTTATAACTTCATTACACCCTGGCATTTATTACATGTTGAGTGATCCTTTAAATTTTAACCACATTCATATCTGAAAACTATTTATGGGACTACAAAGCCAAAGGTAATAAATTAACCCACATGTTTCTGTATGAGAGAGACACCCAACTGGTTTAGCCACTTTTTCCAAAACCCATTTTCACAGATGAGTGTTATTGCTGGAATCAATAAGTAAAATCACACTCTATCCTGGATATTATTTTGATTTCATTTTTAAATAACTTCAAGAGACCAAAGCAATGTATATGCTTTTGATTATTTTATTTGTCTGTTTTGAGAGTTGAAGAGTAACTGCTGTAAGAATTCTAACAAATTCACATTTACATAATACAGTGTACATTATTAGTAAGTACAGAGAACATTCAGCATTTTTCAGTTTTAACCATGTCTTCTCAACTGCTCATAGTCCCAGCCTGCATTGCCTCTCAGCAACTCGAAGACCTGAAGAACCAGCCTTTGCATTGCTGAAATTTTGTCCTTCAGGTCACCATGGGGTCACAGCAGAGTGAGCAGAGTGACTTTGCACCCCACCTCCTCGTTAAAGACAAAGGGCCACTTAGTTCTGGTTTTTAAGTTGCCCTTCATGCTGATCATGCTCAGCCTTCAGCAAATCAATTGTTATGATACATCTACATCAATTGTTATGATACATACATTTTTTTGGTCCCCTCAGTTGTCACATTTGTGGGAATAAAGCACACTAGTGTGCAAGTGTATCCCATTTTGTCAGTGGCAAGATACAATAAATACATGCCCTCTACAGTCTTATCAATTAAGGATGCAACAGAGACATATGATAGACTGAGGGGGGAAATTATATTAGCCAAATGCACCACTCAAATTGAGCTACAGCAGAGGTAACTCCGTTACCAAAATGTCACACATTTGGTGAAGGGTGCCACCAATTATGCAGTGTAGTTTGATAGCTGTGATACAACAGCGGAGAACTGATGGCATTTCAAGCAAAGCAAGTCAGTTTCTCTTTTTCCAAATTGTAGTGAGATTCTGTTGTAATTCCGTTATCTTTACCGAAGAACTAGCTAATTGGCCAATTGGTTTTCAAGCACACCAAAGAGCTGTTAGCACTCGGCAGTGTGGGGCTGTACAGACAGCCTGACAGTGTTGTCATTCACTCCTGAGACACAGTGAGAGGGAAGCCAGTGAGTGCAGTGTCACCCTGACACGGCCTACCAGTAGGGCTATACCATCGACCTGTGCAACAGGCTACATGTGACAAAAAAAATTATAAATCATATTACAGCAAAGCAATAAAGAAGGAAAAAAAACACATCAAAGAAGACCTGCTGAAACTCCCAGGCACTTGTGATGTAGAATACATATTTACATTTGTAAGTGCTACAAGCAAGTCAAATGTCATATTTTAGAAAATAATACTTTTTCAACAAAATGATAATGACACAATATAAAATTATGGAACATAAACATTCATAAGTTGGGAACATTCACCTTCACTTAGCGGAAGTAACTTTACACCAGTTCATGAAAGTAACAAAGTGTTACTGTGAAAATTAAACCAGGACTCATGTAATAAGCTCCCCTGTGGTAGTAAGAAAAAAAGTCAAGAACAAATATTGAAGAAGAATTCATTATATTACATGGAGTGAAAAAATGTAGCACACACTCAGACACACTCTGGTGAAGGGGAGATTTTACTATATATCACAATGTCACATCATTTCACTACATGCCATCATTGTGTCCAAGATATTAAGTGTTGCTTAATAGTCTCCAATGGGGATCCTGCACATGTTACTAACTGAGCTATATAATACGGCACAATAAGGTTCAACTGATTTGCATGTAACAAAACCCTAATAGGTCCTAGTAGGACTAAAAGCAGAGAAAAAATAAATAAATTCTCCCATGAACTACCAATGGCAAGGAATTAAATGCAATATCCTTACATGGGGCCAAATTAAAAAGACATCTTGTGAACAAAATTGTGATTTGGCTGAACACTCTTCATTGTGCTATGCTATATTGAGTTTCTGCAGCCTGCCATTTTAGAATCATATTTGTACAGATGCTTTAGAATCGAATGACATCATAATGACACTAGGGGCAATGGCACTCCACTATTCCGTCATAAACTATGCCTACAATGTACATGTTTAAATATGATTTGTTCTATTATCATTTGTTGAAATGAAATAATCAGGTAGCCCTCAGGTTGACCCTACTGCAGCAAATGCTGTAGCCATTTACTCATAGTTGCTGTTCAAAGTAGATTAGCCAATGAATGGTAGCAAGCACCTACATTCTAAAATGTCAAGTTATTCTCAGAAGAGAACAGTTGTGTGTGTGTGGTTGGGAGGGGGTCAGATATACATCATACACCAATTGTCCCCACAATGTTATAAAAACCTGTTGTTTTGCCATTGTGGGAACCATTTTTTTGGTCCCCACAAACTGAAGTTCAATTTTATAAAAATCTGTGACTGCAATCAAAAACCTAAAAATTCCAAAAGGCTTGTAAATTGTTTGTTTACTTATGGTTAAGGTTAGGGCTGGGTAGGGTTTAAGATTGTCATGGTTGGGATTAGGGTTTTGTCCATAGAAATGAACAGACAGTTCCCACTAAGATATGAGTACAGTTCTGTGTGTGTGTGTGTAGTCAGGGTGTGTAAATAGGTTTTAATGAGTTTTTAGAAAGTTTCTCTACCCTGAGTATAAATGTAAATTTACAATTTCATATCTGGGTATCTTCAGCCTCTCCAGCATGTGATCATTTGTTTCAAAATGCGATCACCACTGTGAATGTGAAAACCTAACACTTATTTGAACTGTGCCCTCAGATTGCAGCAACAGCATCGCCTCTCTGCTGACAATGTCAGCTTTATGTAGTCCATTCCCCGCCCAGGACTCCCCAGCCAGCTTCCCCAAGCAAAAAAGTCAAAAAAGCCTAAAGTTACCAGAGCAAGTTTTTCAACCATAGCGCACATATTAAATTTTTGTTTCTGTCTTTTATTTTTGTGACCTTCTGTCTGAAATGAAAAATTCAATTAAATTATGCTGGGGTGCACTAATCACACTGCTGCAGTCTGTGTGCATCCTCAGTCACTCTGGACACCTCTGACAGAGACAGCTCTTTCCTTTAAATAATACCTCTTTCACACTAAATTCTTTTACTCACTATTCTGTATATAATTGAGAATGTTCATACTTTAACCATCAATACAATAGGAACATAGACAATAAGCATATCAAGCAAATGTCAGGCCACGTGTGTGGGACCCTGAGGAATGATGTTCTGTTGATCCTGAAGCATTAAAATCTGTTGCAATGCATTACTAGCTATGAATTTGTTCGCTATAGTTTACGATTAATGTACATTATATAAAATACTGTCTTACATACAGATAAGGCCACAGTGTTGTTATATGCATCTCTAATTAGTTCCTGTAAACAACATATTATACTATAATGAGTTTTCACATGCCGTCTATAACACATACAAAAAGAAATTAATCTTTGCCTAGAATATATAATACGCAATATTTCATGTATGTATCTTCACTGTTACTGACACACTTTAGGGTATTGATTATACGAGTATAATCCAAGGTTGGGAAAACCCTTTGCCATCTACCATAGCCGGTCTTTCTTTTTTTCTAATTTTTTATTCAATACAATGAAACTGTAAAAATCGTTTCTTACTTCCTGCATGTGTGTTGTATTTGTATTCAAATGAACGAGTCAGGGCCTTATGTTATACAGACAAATTACTCTGTATAGATTAGCCCCACATTTTCACACTAAACTTGCCAGCAAAACCTGCCTTGTTGCATTGTTCATTATCTGATGCTGCACTGCACTTTTATTTGATAAAATAAAAATATAACGTAAGCCAACTAAATTTTTGAATTTGACTCAGTCACCTATTATAACTCTTTTGTTTAAACATGTTTTTGCTATCTTTTAACACTGACAGTAAAAACCATTGTTATACCCACTCAGCTTAACATTTCTGTAGTCTGTAGCTTAACATTTGACCTTCTAATTTGTTGTTCATGTCTGGTTAATCTTTAAGGTCCATTTAAATGGTAAAAGCTGATATTCATCTGTATGGTTTAAGCCACAGACACCTAGTACATAGTCACAAACAATGGCTTACAGTACTTTACAAAATGTACATTGACGTTAACGCATCTTTCGTGTTTTTGCTTGAGGGAGAATAAAAACAGTTATAAAAAGAAGGCAGAAGAACTGGAATACCAAACTGTCAATTGATTGATATTCCCAGAAAATACTGCAAGCTACTTTCCTGAGCTGATTCAGAAGGGAGACCAAACTTTAAGGGAAGAAGGAGCGAAAGAACAGGCATTTGCTATCGCTGTAACTAAAGGAACAGCTAGACAGCATTATGGCTCGTAATCCTACTAAAGGAAGAAATGGAGAATATAATGCCATTATGGATGTGGGTGCGGTTATAACAAGATGCTAACAGCACAGAACAGGTGGCTTTTTAAGTAGGAAGAGTAATACTGGATTGTCATGGTGCATTGACTGATAGAAATGCAATGGCAGAAAGTGATACACATGAGAGAGTAAAGAAACTAAAAGAAATGGAATGGGAAGACCACACAAGACCTCAACCAGTGGTAATGTAGACACACAAGACAAAACCCCCACCTTTCCCAATGGATGTTTGTTTAAGGGAAATGGAGGGGGGTCTTCATGAAATCCTTCTTTTGAAACCATTACCCTAATAAGTTTAGTTACACCTGCTTTTTTCCAGGTCTCTCCTTCACTTTTCCCTGTACCTCCAAAACCTTTCCTGATGTTATCTAGCCCTCTTACCCACTTAACCAACTAACTGCATGAAAGATGAGGGTTAACGTAATTGGGTTGGGATTATTTTGAGAGAAATGACAGGGTAAGCCAGGGTATCACACCGCTGAGGTGGCTGTGATGAGACTTTGAGCAACGTCATCCCTGTTGATCTTGCGGAGGGCTGAGCATAGTGCATCTAAACTGGCACAGTCCTTGCTGGCCCAGTCAGAAAGCAAGGCTCGGACTGGGTGTTCCTCTTGGCGAAAAGAGTTGATGTGCTTGTCTTCGTATCCCAGGAGCCCCGCCAGGTTGCACCAGTCTGTGTCATCCTCTGCCCCTGTACCCTCACCTCCACAGCCTTGGTTGAGCAGTTTTTCTACTTCTTCACACTTGTGGGGCGGTATTGTAAGGTTGCTCTCTCCATCTATCTTCACCACTGTCAAAAGAGGACCACAGAGGCACATTAGCATACAGCGGCTAATTGTTGCTCTCCGATGAAAACCATTTTTTGACGATGGTGACTTTTTACATGAAATATGCCTATTCTCCTTCATCTGCTGAATACATTTGTATTCATGATAGGGATTTTTATGCATAACTTTATACCACTAATTTTAACAGTCTGGCGTTGATAACTAGATAGCTAGCTAACTAACATCATTGTTACTTATAAATATACAGCGATATTTATTTTGTATCTAGTTGACATTGACATATTTGCCACATAAGTCAATTTAAAACGTTAAACTGTTCACAACTTAATGTGTAAAAACAGGTTTCTATTTGTGGTGCTAAGGTCTCATTATGTTGTTTTAGTTTTATTTTGTAAAGGAGATAATGCATTTTTACACGCTTCTAAAATAATGGATTTATGGAAATATGTGTTCTTCATTGGACAGCGACAAAATGTCATGTCCCAGATTCATTTGCTGTGGGTAGCTATGTTGGAAATCATTTTTTGCAATTACACACGGAACTATACATAAACAGGATCGCTGAGTATTAAAAGAAAGGGCTAGGGAACAGAAGACAGGATAACATGACTTCAGTGACGGTACTGGGGATCACAAGCCTGAGAAGCACTTCAATACTGGACTAACGAGGGAGAACAACAAGAGGCAGCTGGAGCGAATCACATAAGGGCTGGAACAAGAGGTAACACAAACACATAACAGGTATGGCTTGTTAGAGCCCTTCCTGGGGGGAGACAGGAGGGTCAGGCAAGGCAAGGCATGGCAGGACATGATATGACAATTAAGCACTACAGTTCTTTTAATATGCTATATATATTATTTTCAAAGAAGATGCAAAATTATATATTGTGGTAAAATGGTGTCAAAGAAAGTCTTTACTTCATTTTAAGTAAATTCAACAGCAATTTCACTCAATCTGACTTAGAAAACTACTGAGCTGCAAATAACAAAAATTTCCTAGGGTCCAATTACTTAGATGTAAACTCAGTACTGGCTTTGACTTAGCTTATGTGAAAACATTTTTGGGACAGACGAGCAAGTGATACTGGAAATCCAGGAGGGATGACATAACAAATAAGCTGGTTTCAAGAGTTACCGAGGCCCAAAGAAAAAAATCAAAACATGTGTAATTAAATCAATATTGAGAGCTAAGACAAGGGAAAAGAATCACCAGCTGATTCCCCCTACCAAGAAGTTTTTTTTTTTTGTCGGAAGACAAAAAAAAAGGCACTTTTCTGTGCCTTCCAATAACTTCCCCTTGGTATTTATTGCTGAATTGTTGTCTGCTATTCAGTACAAAATTATGGAATTACACAATGTAATTTTATGTTTGTTAAGACTGCAAAGTGTGTGGAGCACTGACATGCTACTGTGGAGCAGTGAGGGTGGTGTCATTTAATCAATGATCTAACGATTATCCCCACCTAGGGGTGGTCTATTTAAGGCCTGTGCCTCCAGTTCCAATTGCTACATAGTGAGCAGCTCTCTGCCAAGTGGAAGATCATTATTCAAGCTGTGGCTCAGTGGTCCTTGCTGTCAAAAGTACTTACTAAAGGGTTTCTACATAATTAACCCTTGGAACAACCTCATTCTGGCTGCTTCTTCCCTGTGCTTGAGTCTGTAACCAGAACATGTGTAACAATCACAATTTTCTCATTTTTTTTATTGCAAAAGACAGAAATGAGTCAACTTACATTGTGGCTTGATCAGCTTATTTTAAAGTAGTTTTATCTGGCATTTTCCTTACCTTACTATTTTTTAAGAAACTAAGAAATATGCATTAAGAAATCCAAATGTCCCAAAGATCTTCAAACCACTTCATCAAGGTTAAAAATGAACCATATTCACTTTAACCCTTTAAAATTCCTGCCTCCTGAAAGTTTTGGGATACTGTTATTTTTGTGATAAGTTATTTTGAGATGAATTTCATGATTATCCATTTCAGTACAGTTACAACAGATTAGAAAATAGGGGGGAGCTGACTATAATGGCACCATTTCATTATCTGCACCTTTTAATTATGATGCCAGGAATTCATTCATTTATTTATTCATTCATTCATTTCTAACAACAAATGTGCATGAAAATTTTTGAGACAAAGTAGCAGAAATAATCGGTGTTCAACTACGGTATTCTCCTCTCATTTTTTTGACTATGACTATATCTGCAAAATACAATTTGCAGTTTATATCTCACTGAAAAAAACACCACTCGTGTTGCTTTTCTGTTTTCCTTTTCCTCAACTGACTCAAATTCCAAAACCCTACATTTAACACATAGTTTGGTTCATTTGATAACTGATGATATGATTTATATACACTACACCAGTATATAGAATATTTAAACAACAATAATCTACATATGATATATATAACATATATGACCTGACCTGACTTGAATGTATATAACTACTACTAATGATTTAATCTGCTACTAAAAATCACATGTTGTATTCTTTAATAGCTGTATTAAATGTTGTCACACTGTGTGTGTAAGTTGTGGAAAATTATTAGTTTTGGGTGTTATTTATACATCTTTACTTGCATAGTCATATATTTCAAAATGGAAAACGGTGAACTTAGCCTTTTGTATAATTGTATGCAGATTTCAGGAATGTTTGTGGTTTCATTTGATTTCCTACAGTGGTTTCTGGTTTTGATATCCTCTTGCCAGTTCTGAGGGTATTTTCTTTTTGAAGTAGTGTGCATCTGATTTTAGAGACCCACAGGAATTATAAGAAGGAGGAATGTAACATCCAGTTTTTAATCGTAAGATTCTGTGATTAAAACTATTGTGGCATGTGCTTAGTGGTTGGACTAGGCAAGCATCGTAATCATTAATGCTTCCCAAAATATCTACTGTTATTCCACAATGCTCTGTCAGCATTTAAAACATTCCAAGGCTGAATTTTTTTCCACCTGTGTTAATTATTATTTTATATGCTATTTGTTGTGTTTGCACTACTATCTAGCCAAAATTGTACCTATTTTGTTTTCTTAAGTAAAAAAATATTTTCTTCTTTTAAATGTCATTCCTCTCCACAAGATATTAATAACACAAAATCAAGATTTCAAAAGATTATTGTAAAAAATTAATACAATACTACGTTAATATTAAACTCAAGTTGGCTGATTCTTAATTCCTCCCTGAATAATGACTAACATAATGTGCTTAACAGGATAGAATTTTCCTCAAAACAAAATTGGTGACGCAACATAACATTGACCTTTAGGTCCTTTTTTTGTGATTTGATTAAAGAATTTAACATATTACCAATATATTAGGAAAATATTTGACAGGGACAGAAAAAGGTATTGCATAGTAGGAATGACCCTAACTAGTTTCATAAATTATCTCTTGGTGATTCTTGGTGTGCAAATACTTAGTGTTTCATAGCACCAGGCATTCACAAGAAATTAAGGATTAGAAACCAAAGGAGGCATAGGCAAACTGTCTTTTAATATAAATACTGCATATTTATTGTTGGCTATATAAAAATGAAATTGTAAGGCATTGGAGGTCATAACAAATCATGTTACCTAACCCACAAAAAACTGCAAGTACAGTTATCATCATAAGCATCATCATCAACATCATTATCCTCATATTCATGAAACATTTTGGTTAATCACATGTTTCTTGTCCAACAATGACAAAGTCACACACCTCTTTCGCACTTGCCTCAGACACAGCCTGATACTATTCACGAGCAAATCCTCTCCATTTTAAAGCAATCATGTTATAGTTCACAGTCAAGGTTGATGTCTGGAATGAGTGCCATTTTCTTTTTTGCAATTTTTGGGCATAATTCTTGAGTAATGTTCAAAGCCAACTTGAAATGACCTAGGCGTTTGTCCCAGGAGAGGCAGCATACTTCTTTGATTTAAGGCCCTGCAGGCATGTAAGCCTTTCCACAAGCCACAAGAAGGATTTCTTGCAATGGGATCAATGTGAATTATTAATAACAAGTGACCCTTTATGCCAAAAGCCACCATATCGGCATAGATCCAAATGGCAAAGGGATAAACTGACAGGAAGCAGGGAGGACTGTGAGCTGAAATGGCTCTCGGAAAGCCCATCATGCTCTGATATATTGATATGTTGTCTTAATAGAGAATAAATACACTAGGCTATGTGCAGTGAAGAAGTCACTGTTATTCAACATCACATTGATGGTGTGCTTTCACTGTATCGTTGGCTAGATGACTGAAATATGAAATAATCACATTAATTACTGAAAACATGGAGAGTGTATTTGAGGACAAAATCAGCAATGTGATACCTTATCTTTAAACAAAATAAACCCTGATTCTTGAACTTTGGATAGCTATGATCCAAATATGACTCAGCTCATTGCATTCTAATAAAGGTCTGTAACTGTAGATGAGCAAGCTTTCAGAGGACTACAACTCATTAACTATTTTTTATTTACATCTCCCATCGTTATATGCATGTTATGAGTATGTTTTTTTATGATACCATATTATATTATTTCTGCAGGAAAATGGCAGCATTTTGGATGGCTAATGGGAGCATTTTGGAAGCTCACTGGGGGTTTACTTACACTAAAATATTCTGCAGGCAGATGGAAAAATGATTGGTTCAGAGAAATAATCAATCAGATTGTAGGGAAGGTGGTCCAAGCAACTAGAGGAGGTGATACCAGCCAATCTAGTACTACCTCCACTGGGTACTTGGACTCACCTCCTTTGTAACCTGATTGGTTATTTCTTTGAACCAATATTTTCTTCTGCCCTCAGAAGATTTATGTGGAAGTAAAACTCCCACTAGCATTTTGGAAACACTCCATAGTTCATCACCCATGTTGGGCCTAATTATTGATGCCTGGCTGACAATTCTGATGCTAATTAGCAATTATAAAACACTTATTTATATATGAATCATTCCCAGTCTAGAACAGGTGACTGCATGAACTTAGGCCGGATGAAACCACCATCATAAACAACACTTCAATGTGTCACAAATATTCAGATATTTACTGTCAGGGGTGCCTTAAGGAGGAGGTGGGGGGGGGGCGGGAATTATAATGATTCCAAGGCTCCCTGAGTGACGAGGCACAAAAAAATTTGAAATATAATTGGATTGCTCAGGGCTGGGGGCCCAATATCATGTGCTTCCATGGGGCCCAAAATGTCTAGTGGTGTCCCTATTTACGGTCACCATGATAGGACCATCAGTTAAACACAAGGATAGTGAACAAGCAGTGGAAGGAACAAATGGAAGCTAGTAAGTTGTTAGCATTTTAGCAAAATAATGCTTTCAATAAAAAAAAAAAACAAAGATTGCATCCACTGGCTTTACTCGCAATGTTCTGCACAAAGTTTTGAGTCTAGGACATCAATCATCCAGACATGCCAAGACATTCCTTTTGACTCCTTGCAACATACAGTATACTTTCTCCATTACCCATAATCCTGTTCTGCTTTGTTGCTATTCCTTACTAATAACTTAGCAATAAATGGACACCCAGCAGGGAGCAATTCCCAAAAACAGGTTGCACTGTTAAAATACTGTAGCCCCAAAAGGCTACTGAACAATGCATCTGCTATATAAATAAATGCAAATGTAAATATTTGCTGAGCATGGCGTGTGCATGTTTGGAGGTTGTTACAAGGTGTAGGACAGAGTTACACCCACTTTAAATGCACACCTGTTTGCGCCTGCATCTGCTGCTGCTGCTGCTGCTCCTGCAGGCTCTGACTGTCCACCGAGATGCCACTGTCACTGTGCAGCTTTTCCCCCTCAGGTGACGGGGTCTGGCTCACTGCACAGTTGTTTGACCCTTGCTTGTTCTGCTTACAGCTGTTCCACCTACGACATGCAAATAGGGCAGAAGAAAGTGGAACATTCTTACTTTCCTTTCTGGGAAAAAATAATGACAAAAAATCCCTTTTGGGGAATTCTAGATGGTTTCATTTTTTTACACCGTAAAACATCACCAAGCAATACCTGAGTCCAGTGTGGTGCAATTGTTTTGTCATGTGTAGAGATATATTTTTGTAGTGAGGTTGTTTTGTTAAAATTGGTTAATGTGTGACTGTCAGGTGACTAAATATTTAAGCCTCAGTTCACTATCCCCATGACTGTAGACCAAGTTATTTGTCCAGCCACCTGCAGGATTGTTTGTTTCAGTTTGATTACCACAAGTAAACTTTGGGTTGAGTGAAGATTTTGTAAACAAGGAAAGACAAAACAATCTGTCAATATTATGCATGAGCCAATGGGATTACGTAGAATTTTTCAACATGCTTTTTTAAATGAGCCAAACAGAGACAACAAAAGGCATTCAAATAAAAGAGAAACAGATGACTTGATTAACTATATAACTGCAACATTATGACTCTTGAAACAATCCAGTTTCTGTTTTCAGAATCATTCAGTATTTTTTTCTTTTCAGTGAAACACTGTCACCCCCTTAGAAGAAAAGTATCAATTTTTATGCCTGCTTAGCTAATTATACAATATCTTTTGTCCAAAGCAATGACTCCACATAAGACCTTAACTTTCATTGCTTGCCTGCACTGTCATTCATTTAAATGTCATCCTTCAAATTCAGAAGCCATTAGCCACATATGGGCTACTTTGCTTACTTCTTGAAGACGATGAAGGCCACCAGACCCACTACCACCGCGGCCAGGATGGAGCAGTAGATGGGGATGAGCTTTTTGTTCAGCCCCTGACCAAAGGGCATCAGGGGACTAGGCCTGGCTGTGGTGGCACCATCAGGGGGGGACACTGACAGAGGGTTCTCAGAGAAGAAGGGGACCATCGATGACTCAGGTGAGGCTGACGGATCGAAGGGATTTATGGCTGTGGAAGAGACATCACAAAATAAATACATATCAATATAAACCTCAAGTTTACATGTGGTTATAGAAATGTTGACATTTATGCCTTAGTCTACTCATGCCTCATGCCTTAGAGGTTTATTGTATCTAATTGTAACTATGGTATTTAATGGTCTCCCTGTGACAGAGAAGTCAGATCATTACAGAAAGGTGTTAATTACAGTAAAAAGAGTGATTGGTGTACACAAGTTCAACATAGTTTTCCACGCAAAAAATTTCATTAAGGAATCGTATGGCCATGTTGGACATAAGTTCACTGGCAGCAGCCTTCAAGACATGCAGGGTGTAACAGCAACAGTGATAGCAGATGGAGGAGCATGTTGCTTATCTGCAGAACTTTCTGCCTGTGGCTCCACAAGAGGGAAAGTACCCCATCCCCCTGACTGCAGGGGGCAGTTTGCTGGAGGCACGCTCAGAGGATGGCAGATGATTATGTGGGTTTATAGGGGATCTGCACGGGCACACTGGGAGCAAGGGTGAAAACTAGAGCGGGCACAAGTGGCCAACATAGCAGGCATGGTATTTATTAATACGGAGACGGCTTGCTCATTTTTCCACCACATCTTTCAAACATATCATTTGGGTGTATTTAAAAGCTTTTGAAAAAAGACCATAGTTCTGGATCTTATTGGGAGGTTTTATTCTATTGACTAAGGATGTGGTCAACACCATGCCTAAATCAAAGAAACACACTCACAATTTGCGAAAAACAAAAAATGTACAATAGATACAGCTGACCATAGTATGTGCTTATGGAAAGGAGTTATATGTACATATGTTTACTAGATTGGAATACAAAGTCATGGTATTAAGCGTGTATTATAAGCAGAATATCACCAACTTCTGCCCTTCATTAAAAGTGCCAGAGTTTCAGCAAAACATGTAATTGGCTTTAAGTACCTTCCTCTGCCTCTGTCCTATCCGCACAGATGGCATTTCTTATTCTTTCATATTCGCTATTTCTCAATACATTTCAGGCAAAGATGTTTCCTTCCCAAATGCTGAATATGCATTTTAAACAGTTTACATTTTTACACAAATAAAAATCCATTGGCTCCTTTTGATGTTTAGCCATACAATGCTAATATAACAGTTGGGAGGATATGTCTGTAATTGCAGTTGTATGACTGGGATGTGTGTTACTTTGCACAATGAGGAACACACAACAAAAGCAGAGAATACAGTGGGAAATGTATTATCAGATAGGAGGAGATGTTCCCGGAAAAGTGGTTAATGGTGAAGTTAGCCTATCAAACTGTTGCCCTCTGTGTCATGTCTGCTTTTTGTGAAATTGTTATATGTGTTTGTGCACATGGGTATAGTTGTAATAGCATGATAAACTTCACCAAGATACGCTGATATAGGAACAAACTTTTTTTTACAAGTTTCTTACAGCCTGATATAACTACTAGACTTCAAAAATAATCAGTAGATCATGCAATGAAAATCAACAATGCATTTAAATGTACGTAAATCTTTCCTGCACAGACTTCAAAAATACAAGAAAACATCAAAAGCCTAATCTCTGCCTGATGGAAACAATCAGTGTTTTACATTATTAATATGTTCCTGGGAAGGTGACTTTTTCCATTGATTAATAGCTAACACTGGCTAAAAACCACCTCAAATGTAACCAAACTGTCCCTTCCATTTTCTCCAATTTTGACTAATTTCCGTATATTAAGAATGCATGCTGCAATTCCATAGTGAAGCCAACCATGAAATGTGTTTCAGATCTAAAGGTCCTTGCAGGTCCATTTAATTGTTTGTTTTGATAACATCCAGATAAATGTACACATGAGTTTGCACTTAACCTTCATGTACAGTACATGTACAGCCGCTTCCCTTGGTTACTGCACGCTTCGTGACCCAGTCCTCAAACCATACGGCCAGAGCAGCTCATAGCCCAGGGCCCTTTCTGCCACTCAACAAGAGATTGGTGTGGGGTGACAGAGAGTTTCTTTGTCGTGAATAGAGGCCCTTCCTCTGTTGCTCTCTCTCAGTGCTACTCTCATGGTCAACTTCCTCAGCGTATAACTCATCATTTCTCTTTCATTCGGCCCCAGCTTTCATAGATATCTTTAGATCTCTTCATCGGACTCCTTCTTTGCATCTCTGTCTCTTATCTGGTCTTTCTGGTTCTGCCACCCAGTTCTCCCATACTTTCATCATTGGATGACTAAACTAGAGGCAGAGGCACTGTGATCTGGGAACACTGAGAGAGAATGAGCGGAGTGCTCACATTAACGGGAGTGGCTGTGATGCGGTAAAAGAACTGGGCGAATGTACATGAGGGAGCTAGCTGCTGAGAAGCTCCAGGGAGAGCCAGCTGGTTTTCTCTCATTTGGGTTTTTAGTGTCCTGTTTTGTATTTTACTTCTCTGCTGTGAAATATACGGACAATGGATTTCTGGACTAGGTTTGCCCTATACATATGGGACTTTCATCTCCTTCAAAAAGTCCTCTTCTAAGATAAATAGGTATAACTAGATATGAAAACGTGCCATAATCTGTATTGTTGTTAAAACTGCATTTGACAATGTGTAGATCTGCTGGCTATAATCATTCAGTTGTACTAAATAGATAGGACATTGAAAGCAGGTTCTAACAGACAGAAAAATGTCCCACTGGAATCAGGCACATACAAGCACAGTAACCAGGTCAGTATCTTTTGCATAGTAACCAGGTCAGTATTTTTTGCAGCATATGAGTGACTTGCCTTTATGTGCTTATATTTATCAGCTGGGGGAGACAGTGGCCCAGTATGCATGTTCTCCCTGTGTCATGCAGATTTCACCCCACAGTGTAAAGACACACAGTCAGGCTACCTGGTATCTCTAAATCGCTTTACATCCCATGCAGGTGCACCCCTGACTTGTACCTTGTGCTACCTGAGTAGGGCTTGAAATGCTGGCGCGACCCTGAATGGGCCAGACAGTTGGAAGAATGGATTTATCATATTATTAATATGGCTTGTCATAATTCATAAGAAAAAATAGTGTTTGGTGCTAACACGGAGTACCTGCAGGGTGTTTCCACAATCAAGATATAATTTGCCATTTAAAATGGGTGGTTTTTCTGTGGCACATCAGCCCCAGATGCTCTTCATTCTAAGCGTGCCTTGTACATCACAGAAAGATTAGGCTTATAATTATAAAGAGGAAGGATCTGAGTGTGTGATGTGGAGAGGAGAGCCAGTCCACACAAATGGATGGTCATAACAAACATCTCTGGCCTTTGAGTTTGCTGGTTGAACCTAAATGAATCCAGCTGGTATACACCTTAACGTAACCAGTACACCTCAATGTAACCAGGACACCTTAACGCAACCAGTACACCTCAATGTAACCAGTACACCTCAATGTAACCAGTACACCTTAATGTAACTCAGCAGCTGCATGGTTGCATGCACTGTTCCTTTTTTACTGCAAGCTATTTGCTAAGCCCAACAGCTGACTTTTTCACAGCAGTATGCTGATACACACCTTTAAAGGCTCATTTTCGATCCTCGTAATACAATAAAATACAGCTGCAACATATTGCTTAGCAAGCACTTTGCTAGCAGGCTCATAAAAAACTCTCCAGGCTAATTGTGGCACATTTCAGTCAATGATTTTTACACCTGAGAGTTTAAAGACACATAAACTGAGCAGCTCTCTGACAATGAGGTCACAGTTAATGATGTTCTCACATTTTACTTAATGCTAACCCATTAAAAATTGCTAAATATGTCATTAATTGTTTCAAAGAGTACATGACCAGGGGAGAATTAAAAAATATCAGTTATTTGTTGGCAAGTATGCAACATTACTTTTTTCATTTGTTCAACTGTTGTGTTTGTTAGTTATTACTCAAACACATCTAAATCATCTAATTACCAAGTTTAGTAGGTGTGTCTGAGCAGGGAAATCTGCAAGCTGTGTTGTAAACTGGCCCTCCAGGACCGGAATTGGGCATCCTTGCGTTATTGAAACACATTAATGTGCAACATGCTTACAGCAGATGATTTTTTTTTCCTTTTCAGGGCTCCTTATGTGATCCTTATCTGCGATGTTGCAAAACAAAACTCTTAATCTCATATTAATGACTAATGTTTAAAGGCCTGTAAAACCATAAAATAAAATTTTCTATAATGATCCACTAAATTGGTTCCCTTTTCATATGATTAGCATCAGGACGTACGCTCATTGACATTAAGATAAAATTTTACGCTACCCACACATCATGCTAGATTCAGTGAAATGGGTGATTAAAAAAAAAACCTGCAAGATTTGATGAAGATCCCCCACAATACAAATTTGGTGCATGATAATGTTCAAAATAGACTAAACAGGGTAAAAAAAAAAAAGCAAAAAAAGAAACGGTGGCTATTGCTGCCTAAAGACCAGCAGAGAAGCGCTGAGGATGCGCTTTCTTCTCTTGGCGATTCTGCTTTCCTGAATGAGCACAGCGCCTACGACCTGTGCGCATTACAGCAGCCTACTCAGCATATACATGCACAGCTTACATGTGTAAGTACTGAGTTATTTATTCCTTAGGCCCTTAACACTACCACCTGCCGCTTTACTGCTAACTGCACACTATGGATATTTATAATAATTTTTTTATATTTATTGTCTAACATTTGATCCTTTTATATTATGTTCCCTTGGAGGCAAATAAGCATTTCACCACCCACTGTTCTCCGTATATCTGTTTATGTGACTAAATTTTGATTTCATTTGATTTGAATTTGAAAAAGCTTGCATAATTCGCACTTGCTGTAACAGAAGGATGGTGTGGTGAACCCCCCAACATGGACAGCTGACCAGCTGCGTACTGCAGAACGGGCTGGGCATAGATACTGGGAGGACAGGATGAGCTTGGGGGTGGGGGGTGCAACTGGGACCCTTATCAAGCAGACAGAGCTCTGCAGCAAAATATAATCAGCGCTTGCAGGGGTCACCCAGAGATGAAGCAGAGA